GAGAAGATGAGCACGGATGTGACATCCGGGCGCCATCATTTATAATCAATTGATTGTCGTGTAATAATGACAACTTAATGAAATGATAATAATGAGAGCATGCGAAGTGAACAAAAGAGAGGACAAGGATCTTGAGATCTTCTTTTCAGTTTTTTCATTATTTTGACTCTACCTTTTTAACTAAAAAGATCCTCCTGTTTCTTCTAAAAATTTGATGACAGCTTATAGCTTCTCATCGGATCAATCACTGAGTTCAAGGAGTACTGCAAGATTTCTCAGTAACGAAATGTTGTAGAGCGCTCAGACTGATCTTAGGTTGACGAAAACACATGTACTTAGACGCTAGTAGAGCCGGAGTTTTGATATTTTAGTCTTCAAATTAACGGCCAGCGTCAAAAGTCCAAAATTCGAAAAAATCGCATTAATTTACATAAAGATATTTTTCTAACGACAAATCTAGCCCAAATATCACAAATGAAGCTCTATTAGTCTCTAACCACATATGTCAGCTTCAATTTAAGATCTTTCCGAGCTCTCTGCGATGTTTCGCTACTGAGAAATCTTGCAGCTACGAAATAGTGTTAGAGTGAAAGTCGCTTTCGAGATATGGCCAGTAGCTGATGCATGTTTCAGGGTTTCCAGCAGAACTCTCATAACTCTTGATTAAAACATCGTTCAGAGTTGGGAGATATCTTATTCTGTTCAGAAATGTTTGCTCTATTTCCTGATGTTATTGAAGGTACTTTCGGATTTATATTTATCGAAAAGTAAAATTTGTTCGACAACTCAGGTGTTTAAGGTTTACAGAAAACGTTTCCGAAAACCACCACACCCCTTCGATGAGGACCAAATAACATTGGCTCCTGATAAGAAAATCTAAGGTGACGACGTACAAGAATAAAAATTACCAAAAACTGGCAAAAAGAACCCGAAATCTTTAAAAAGGTCGTTTGGATATACGAATTTGTTTACTCCGCCTAAAACCGAAGGTGGGTTTGGACTCCCAGGGAGAGAGCGAAAAAGTTTTTCTTCTCAGGGAATTCTCTAACATAAACGATTGTCTTTTTGGCGGGCATCACGAGATGGAAGAAGTTTCTTTTCGAGTTACTTTATCTCATAGAAGCTGGCTTCCTTGATACGTATTAACCGTAATCGTGTTGAATGGAAAAAACAATGTGAGATGCTGAACATGTTGGATGTATTTAACTGGAAATACAGAGTCTTGGTTTTGATTGCGCGATTATCATGACTTAGAAACATCTTTTCATAAGAAAAACAAACGTAGAAGTCCTTTCCAAAGATAGAATTTTATATTTTGGAAAAGATCAGACACCTATTTAGCATTGATTAAGTATAAAATACCCAATTTTTGCGAATTTTCAGTGATTATTAAAAAATTAATAATTTTCTCCAGATTGATCACAATGACATGAAAGATACATTATTTTGTATTGTATAGATGATCACAGCATTTAGAAACTAGGAAATTCATTTTTTGTCCAACTGCTCTTTCTAGAAATACGGTTAAAAAACCAGAATCTTTTCTTCTAGTTTTCATGTTAAATGGTACGTAGAGCAACCCAATGAAGTATGTAATGGAAGCTGCAAGCTATATACAGCTTGCAGCTTCCATTACATACTTCACAGGAACAGGAATACAATAGAATAAGATCTATAGATCTTATTCTATTGTATTCCTGTTCTATTATATAACCTTTTTATTTGATATTACGTATAAATGTGGTCAGTGAATGTTTTTGTATAGTTGGATCCCTGATTAACTGTGTGAACGTAGTTTGATTAGCTAAAAACGTTATTACCTTAGAGAGATAGTCGTTCATATCAAAAATTGCTATGGCTAGGCCTTATTTTGTATAGTAATATAACAAAATCTTCATACGCAGCTTGTTCTTTTGTATTAAGTGGAGAAAACAATGTACAGGTATTTAATTTTCAATGTCATAAAAGCCTTTTCACCTAAATAGACATTCTATTTAATAAAAATTTATTTTTTGTTTGTCTGTATTTCTAAGAAATGTTGATTTATGGAGTGTTCTGTGCGGTCTGTGCGTGTGATATTGTTTGAATTTATTTTTACAGGAAAATAATGAAAGTTTCGCTTTTATTTACAAATCTCTCATGCATGAATTAAAAATGAATACGACGAAAAAATAATGAAACACCTCACTTATTATACTTCTCAAATGGATTTCTCAAATCTGTCCCGTGAATAATAGAAAGCCTGTATTTGAAGAATCCCAGTTAGCATGTTTGTAATCATAAATACACCGTTGATACTTAAAAGATTTACAGAAATTATTACCAGTAGAAAAGCCAACCGTATAGTGATCACGTTTAAATGATAATTTGTAAAAGAACATCAACATTACTCATATGGTTTTCTGGAACGTTGATTTGGTTTAGTTGGTTAAAACAATGTTTACACGCCCATGTCGTGGTTTTCTGGGCACCTAGTTCCTCTAGAAAACGAAGTTTTAAAAAAACCTTCGAGAATGAAGAAAAACATTACGGATCGTTTCTTTTTGCCATTAGTTTCATCAGCAAAATATACCTGTCTCTTTCTTCTGCTTTATACAGGTTTTAGTTGAATGATGGAACTTGTATGATTTTATTCACTATAAAAATAAAATAATCACTATTCTGTTAAATAAAGTGCTTTAAAGGTTTCTAAACGTTGAATTTTATTCTGTCAAAACAATATTCATCCGCATAGAGAATATTTAGAAACAAATACCTAAAAGGTTACATTATACACTTTAAACATCAGAGAAAAAGAAACGCTGTACACTTCATTGCTGAATCATTTTGCAAAACTATAATGAAACATTTTTCTTCGAGAGCTTTTTCTCCGGTCTAGTGTGACATTTTTTGATTCTCAAACAGTTATAAAGAAATAGTTATAAATAATTATAAACATTTTTTTTCTGTTTTGAGTTCTTTTCCTTTAAAAAAACTACACCACGAGCTGGGCTATACTGATTCATCATTCTTTTTTACTGTCGCTCACCGACACTTTCGTACTTGTCGTTTATAATTATTTCTTTATAATTGTTTGAGAATCAAAGAATGTCACTCTGGACAAGAGTAAAAGCTTTAGAAGAAAAATGTTTGACTATAGTTTTGCAACATGATTTAGCAATGAAGTGTACTTCTTTTTCTCTGATGTTTAAAGTGCATAGTCAGACATGTCTTCATTCTGATCATAATTGCTCTCTAATAAATAGGCAAATCGTAAAGATTTTTACATAGATCGATAGAAAAGAGTCTTCTCTACTCGAGAAATTAAAAATAAAATCTTCATGTTGAGAAATAACTTCACAAATTGCAAAATAGTCAACCTGAAATTTTTCGTGATGTAACTGCGGCCGACTGCTCTGGATCGTGATACAGGTTTTTTAAAGAAAGAGAACTGAAACAGAAAAAAAATGTTTATAATTATTTATAACTATTTGAGAATCAAAGAATGGCACACTGATCCGGAGAAAAACCTTTAGAAGAAAACTGTTTCGTTATAGTTTTGCACTATGATTTTGCAATGACGGCGTCTCTATTTCTCCTATGTTTAAAGTGTATAATGATTTTTTAGTTGTTTCTTGTTGAGTAGTCTGTATGCGAATGAATATTGACACATTTCTCCAGCCGAGTGTGACATTCTCTGATCCCCAAACAATTATAACGAAATAATTATAAAAACGAAGTAAGAAAAGTGTTAGTTTGAGAAAGACAGCAGGAACGAATGATGCACTAAAACTTGACCAAAGAAGAGAATGCATATATATTGTATTGTTCTTTTGTTTAAAGGTAAAGAATTGAATATGGAACATATTTGGTAAAAATTGCAATTATTACGCAGTTCAAGTCAGACGTTTACTTTAAATGGAAAGAACCGCTTTAATAAAGCTTCGTACTCTAATAAATGTGTTCAACGTCCCAGTAAATATGGTATGATACTAATTCATTGTGTGTTCAGAAAAGATGCAATAGAGTGATTTAAGCATTTAGTTGTTTTTCATCAACTCATTCTTTTCCAATAATTCTGATTACTTTTTAGGGCGTCACTTACTTTCTTTCTTTCTTTCTTTCTTCCTTTCTTTCTGAAACCAACATTTTTTTACTTCTTCTCTACAACTTACACTTTTAAATAAACACGTCTTTGTTTAAGAACCTAAGAATGTCACACTGACATAGGAGAAAAGCTCTAGACGAAAAATATTTGACTATAGTTTTGCAAAATGATTCAGCAATGAAGTGTACAGCGTTTCTTTTTCTCTGATGTTTAAAGTGTATAATGTAACTTTTTATTTGTTTGTTTCTAAATACTCTCTATGCAGATGAATATTGTTTTGACAGAATAAAATTCAACGTTTAGAAATCTTTAAAGCACTTTATTTAACAGAATAGTGATTATTTTATTTTTATAGTGAATAAAATCATACAAGTTCCACAATTCAACTAAAACCTGTATAAAGCAGAAGAAAGAGACAGGTATATTTTGCTAATGAAAACAATCGCAACATAGTGCGCCATTTTTTGATTTCGAAACACATTGTTCAAAAGTCTAAGTTAAAAAGAAATAAAAAGCGTTAGTTTGAGAAGCAAAGACTAAAAATAATCAAAATTATTGGAGGAGAATGAGTATAAGTATCACAATACGGAATATCCATTACAAGTCAATGATGCATGAAAGTGAGACTATTTTAGAAGAAAAGTTAGTGGCAAGTTGTTTTGATAATAAGTGCATAATAAATGAAGCGTTTCATAGTGTTTTCGTCTCATTCGTCCTTATTTCATGCATCAGGGGTTTGTAATGGTTTTTTCGGTCCTGTGTTCATTGTAGTGCTTATAACTGATGTAGTCTTTGGGTTGCCCGACATTGAGTTAATTGTTAGTCCACACGCACCACCTTTCTCAAAAGCTAACAAACTGATACCTTTTTGAATTTTCCATTTATGGGCAACTCCCTTGTGAATTTTCCGTTTATGGGTAACAAAGTGAGCAATCCGCCGTTCAGTTGGGTTAAGAATGGAGAGGGTCAACATTATGGATGGTCTCAAGATAGTTTATATGTCAAAGTTCCATCATCGACAACCAATGGTGAATTATCTATAGTTGAAGATACATTGAAACCA